ACAGGAAGATGACAGCTTTTAATTAAGGGGCTATAAATCTCACCGCGTTTAACCATTCCAAGCTGTAGTAAGGCTACTGTTTGAAAAACACCTATTTGGCCAAACGGGGGAACCGAATAGCAAAATATTGTGGTATCTACTGGGCTTCTTGTCCCAGCGAGCATTAGAAGAATGGAGCAAACCCTGCTGCCTTCTAGCACTGATGATGTTACCTAGTTGGGTAATGAAATGTCTGCAAGGAAACAACGTTTAGGAATTGCTGGGAAATATACGCCAGTTACTTGCTACTCTGTGTTGTTCTGTGTATACAGAGGCTCTTAAAACGAGTCCTTGGTCCACTCTGAGCTTGGTTGTTTCTTGGCAGATGTCTCACTACCCAAAGCACTGATGATGTTCCCTAGTTGGGTAAGGAATTGTCTGCAAGAAAACTACCAAGCTCAGAGAGCACCAAGGACCCCAAAGCCGTTGTCCACCTCCTCCTCCTCCTCCTCCTCCTCTTCCTCCTCCTCCTGTTCCTCCTCCTCCTCTTCCTCCTCCTCCTCCTCTTCCTCCTCTTCCTCCTCCTCCTCCTCCTCCTGTTCCTCATCCTCCTGTTCCTCCTCCTCCTCCTCCTCCTCTTCCTCCTCCTCCCCACAAACCCCACTCCCCACTAGCACTGTTGATGTTACCTAGTTGGGTGATGAAACGTCTGCAAGAAAACAAGCAAGCTCAGAGAGCACCAAGGACCCCACAGTCCTCCTCCTCCTCCTCTTCCTCCTCCTCTCAGCAAACTCCTCCCCCCTTCTAGCTCTGATGATGTTACCTAGTTGGGTCATGAGACGTCTGCAAGAAAACCATCAAGCTCAGAAGCCACCAAGGACCCCCAGTTCTCCTCCTCTTCCTCCTCCTTTTCCTCCTCTCCGCAAACTCCTCTGCAAAAGGACCCACCAAGGACCCTTCACTTGAACCCCGAGCCTCAAATATTCTCCTTTATTGGAAGTCTTAAAATGACAATTGTTTTTCTGCTTTTAAGGGAAGCAAAGAGGGATTTTGGGGGGAGCAGGACAAACAAGACTAAACATACCACCGGGAGGAGGAGCCCAAAGGAAGTGCCAAAGGTGTTAAGCGTGTATTGTTAACACAGCCATAAAGGGCCTGCCTTGTTTATGACCCTCTCTCCTCCAATCCATCTTCGGAGGGAATTCTGCAAAGTCAGGCGTGAAGCATCAATCCAGCCCTCTTCTTCCCTGCTAAAGCCCCCTCCCCACCCAATCCACAGCCATCTGCCACTCTCCCTGCTCCGTCTGCCTCTCCAGATAGCACGGAGCTGCCGGTCCACAGACTGTCTGCGTTCTCGTTCAATCCCAAGTGCAGACCACGGGCACAGTCGCTACACAGGGTTTACGAAGACGTTACGACGCTTTCTCATGACTGGGGTGGGTGGGTGTCTCTACATCCCTCAGAATAGGACAGGGGGAGAGCTGCCGGGCTCCTAGTGGGAGATGAAGGGAGGGAGGGCGGAAGGAAGGAAGGAAAAGACAGAAAAGGGAGGGAGGGAGGAGGGAGGGAGGGAAAGAGGAAGGAAGGAGGGAGGGAGGGAGGGAGGAAGGGACAGAAGAAGGAAGGAAGGAAAAGACAGAAAAGAGAAGGGAGAGAGGAAGGAAGGAAGGAGGGGGGACAGAAGAAGGAAGTAAGGAGGGAAGGAGGAAGGAAGAGAAAGCGAAAGGAAGGAGGGAGGGACAGAAGAAAGAAGGAAGGGGGGAAGGAGGAAGGGACAGAAGAAGGAGGGAGGGAGGGAAAGAGGAAGGAAGGAGACAGAAGAAGGAGGGGGAGGGGGAGGGAAAGAGGAAGGAATGAGGGAGGGAGGGAGGAAGGGAAAGAGGAAGGAAGGAGGGACAGAAGGAGGGATGGGAGGGAGGGGGAGGGAGGAAGGGAAAGAGGAAGGAAGGAGAGAGGAGGGTCAGAAAAAGGAAGGAAGGAGGGAAGGAGGAAGGAAGAGAAAGTGAAAAGAAGGAGGGAGGGACAGAAGAAGGAAGGAGGGAAGAAGGAAGGGACAGAAGAAGGAAGGAGGGAGGGAGGGAAAGAGGAAGGAGGGAGGGAGGGACAGAAGAAGGAAGGAAGGAAGGAGACAGAAGAAGGAGAGGGGAGGGGGAGGGAAAAAGGAAGGAAGAAGGGACAGAAGAAGGAAGGAAGGAGGGAGGGAGAGAGAAGGAGGGATGGGAGGGAGGGGGAGGGAGGGAAAAGGAAGGAAGGAGGGACAGAAGAAAGAAGGAAGAGGGACAAAAGAGGGAGGGAGTGAGGGGGAGGAAGGGAGGGAAAGAGGAAGGAAGGAGGGAGGGAGGGAAGGAAGGAGCCATGGTGGTGCGCATTGGGGGGGGCAACAGGCTGACTCTGTAAACCACTCAGAGAGGGCTATGAAAGCACTGTAAAGCGCTAGATAAGTCTAAGGGCTGCGGCTAAAAAGCACTTTCTCAACCAATTCCCAAAAGCTTGTCAACAATTGGAAACCCATCCAAGGTGACGTAAATGGGTTGGGAAGTCAAGGCCCGCAACATGTGCTGCAGAACCGCCGGCCGGCGTGTCCTTCCTCCCTTCAGGCACTCCTCGACTTACAACACTTCACTGACAAAACCTTTGCAGGAAGCAAAGTAATTCGATAGATTTTGAGTCCTCCTTGAAGCTCTGTGAACTCTGGTTGTTTTTTTTTTTTTTTTTGGTACTTCGGTTGGTTTCTGTTATAATTATTTGGATGCTTCTGTTTTTGGCAACATTCCATAGCACTGAAAGGTGGGTGCTTATCTTGGGGAACTATTTATAATTACTTCTGGCTGGGGAATGAAAGTAATTCCCAGCGTTGCAATAAAATAGGTTTTGCTTTTAAAACAAGTTTGTGTTTAATTCCGTTTGACGAAGCCTGGGTCAGAACAATAACCCCTGGGAACAAAAGCTAATCAGACAAGCCGCTGGATGTCTAAGGAGATCCTCAGCCCACCAGATCATGGTTGTCCCAAAGGTAACTAAGACTTTTCTTCGATTCTCTTCCCCTTGAAAATAATGTTAGTTTAAATCGTTTTATTAAATATTTGGATTTCTTTTTCCTTTTTGTAGTCCCCATTTATTTGGATTATTCAGTGTCTTAAAACTGATGTTTGCTTCTGAATTTATTTTAGACACCAGGCTTTGCATTTTCTAAATCCAGATATAACCAAAGTCAATCAAAATATAAGCCCCCCCCCCCAAGCCTTACAACTGGAACCAATAATGAAACCATCCCCGTCCTCTAAATTGATTAGGAAAAAAATGTAATTTTCAGTTACAATTTACACCTATTCTTTGTATATACACACCAGCAGGAAAAGAAAACGCTGCTTAGTAGTTATCGTTACTACGAATTAAAACCCTGAGCTTTGCTCAGATCAAAAAATCTTATAGCGCGAGGAATAAAAAAAACAACACAGCAGACATATTTTTGATAGAGCCACCGACTTTACCTGAATTTTAAATAAAAAGTCGATTGTTGAAGGTCAAGAAAGTGGCAACCGCTTTTTCTGAGAAGGTTCTGTAGCCCTGATTCCCCCCCCCCCCCAAAAAAAAAAAACAGGAAAAGAACCCCGCCAACTATTTCTGCTTTAATTCTCTCGCTTGGAGACGGCTCTTTGTCATGCAAAAGACATCTTGCTTCGAGAAGGGCCTGGCTGGGAGCCCAGGGAAGGCTGGATGAGCCTTCACAGCCTGCTCTGGCAAGCAGGGGAAACAAAAATAAACCATCAACTCTCTGAAATCCTTGCATTGTAAAAGAGATCCGTTGAAGTGGAATTCTTGGATTCGCAGGTATTGAGACATGGACGTTAAATACCTGCTAGCCGTTGGAATGCGATAGTTCCAACGGAGAAAAAGGAGGGGAAACCGAAGGGAGGGTTTTGTAATGTGGACAGAAGATAATATTTCCTGCTTGGGGTTGAACTGTGGGGTCCTCGGTTCCTTGCACACGTTTCGTGACTCAACTAGGAAACTATTGATTCTTTTTATTTTTCTGATATGTATTTCCATTTCACGTATTCATAAATATGTTTATACTTATACCTCTTATCTTGTAAGCGATTGACAAATCAAATAAATAAAATAAATAAACATCGTCAGTGCTAGAAGGGAGTGGGGTTTGCGGAGGAGGAGGAAGAAGAGGAAGAGGAAGAAGGAGAGGAGGAAGAGAAGAAGAAAAAGGAGGAGGAAGAAGAGGAGGAAGAAGAGGAAGAAGGAGAGGAGGAGAAGAAGGAGAAGTGGAGCAGGAGGAGGAAGAGGAAGAGAAGGAGGAGGAAGAAGAAAAAGAATAGAAGAAGGAAAAGAGGAGGGGGGAGAAAGAAGAAGAGGAGGAGGAGGAAGAAGAAGAGGAAGAAGAAGAAAAAGGAGGAGGAAGAGGAGGAAGATGAGGAAGAAGGAGGAGGAGGAGAAGTGGAGGAGGAGGAAGAGAAGGAGGAGGAAGAAAAAAAGAATAGAAGAAGAAAAAGAGGAGGAGAAAGAAGAAGAGGAGGAGGAGGAGGAGGAAGAAGAAGAAGAAGAGGAAGAAGAAGAAGGAGAGGAAGAGGAGGAGGAGAAGTGGAGGAGGAAGAGAAGGAGGAGGAAGAAGGAAAAGAATAGAAGAAGGAAAAGAGGAGGAGAAAGAAGAAGAGGAGGAGGAGGAGGAGGAAGAAGAAGAAGAAGAAGAAGAAGAGGAAGAAGGAGAGGAAAAGGAGGAGGAGAGGACTGTGAGGTCCTCGGTGTTCTCTGAGCTTTTGGTTGTTTTCTTGCAGATGTTTCATGACCCAACTAGGGAACATCATCAGTGCTAGAAGGGTGTGGGGTTTGTTGTGGGGGGGAGGCGGAGGAGGAGGAGGACAACGATGACAACGACTGGGGGGTCCTTTGGGACAATTGTGGATAATATGGACATCTCCAACCAAGAGGCCCAGGGCTCTGAATTCGAATTGGGAAGGAGTATGGGTGGTTGGAGACTGGAGAACGTAAAAAGAATGTTCCTGGGCCACGAATTCAAATTCATCTCTGCCATCCTGGCTGTCGCTCCAGGTGCTTTAATTGAATGGGATTTAAAGGGAAGCCAAAGATTAATTCCGCAGCATCTCGACTGGTATTAAGTTCAAGTAGAGAAATTGTTCAAATAAGTCTCTTCCGTTTGTTTTTTCTTTTTTAATGATTATTATTTTCTTTCATGCCCAGATGAAAAGGATATTTATCTCCAGAAGAACTTTGAAGCAAGCGGTTCCAGATAGAGGGCAGCTCAGAAAAGAGGACTAATGAATCTCAACGTCTTCCGTGAAGCTCTCGCCATTCAACTACAAAGCTTGCCAAGCCTTTAAGTTTCAGTCCTTTGTTCTTGAAAAAGGTGACTTTTAAATGGAAATCTCTTTTTTATATGTGTGTGTGAGTGTGTATGTTTATAAAAGCATATATATATAAATTATATATAATATAATATAATATTATATATATATTTTCCAAAAGCATGCATGCATGCTTTTATAAACACACACACACATAAAAAAAGAGATTTCCATATATATATATTTCAAACTTGAAATTTGGCCCATATGTTCCTCTTGGCTTCTAGGGGCTCACTAAGAAAGGATTTTTCCAAATGAGCATTAGAATTTCCTATATTATTATTATTATTATTAACACGCTCTGATGCTAAGGAGTTCTGAAAGAAATCTCTTCCAAAGGCAAAACACAAGCAGAGGAGAGGAGTTTCAGTTTCAGTTTCAGGGCACCAAGCAGCTTTAGTACAGAACAGTTGAGCTAAGCCACGCCCAGGCTCCTTGCTGTCCTCCTTGCTCACACAGCAAATACTGTTTCAGTTTCCAAACAGCCCTCAACTCTCTCATTTCAAAGGGAAAATAAAATTTGATCATATTTTATTTATCTATATATTTATATACATTAAATGATTGCATTTTATTCCAATTTCATTTTAAACTGTATTTTATTCCAATTTCATTTTAAATCCTATTTTATTCCAATTCCATTTGAAATCCTATTTTATTCCAATTCCATTTGAAATCATTTTTATCAGATTTTAGGAATAATTTGTGCCTGTCACTCTGCCCTTTGATGTGACCAACTTGACAAGTGCAATGATTTCCTTAACGATGGGCGGCAAGGAAATTCATCAAATGGGGCTCAAAAAAACTCACCGAACAATCATTTTCATTGAGCCACAGAATTAATTTCCGGGCTCAGTTCTGGTCGTAACTTGAGGATTCCCTGTATGCCATTGCAGACTCCCCCAAAAGAAACCTCAGTAGTCGTTACCTTTTCAGTTTCATGTAACTTTCGTTGGCGGCTGGCCGACATTCTGCCCGTTGCACCACAATTCCTTCCAGGGACAATTTTTCTGGAATGGAAGGAGACCCAAATTAGCATCGAGACCCACCAAACCCCCCACAAAAAACAAAAAAAAGACACTTTCGGTTTTGGAAAATACAAGAAGTCCTCAACTTACAATAGCTCATTTAGTGACCATTCGAAGTTATGCTGTCACTGAAAAAAAATGACTTATGAACATTTTTCACACGTATGTGGTCAGCGTTCCAGAAAACCTCCACTCCAACAAATAACTCTTGAGAAGACATCCTTTCTGAAGTCTTTTTTATTAGAGTAGTAAACTGTCATGCCCCTGTCAGAATCTGACTTGGAGGAGGAAGCTGACAGGGAGGGGGAGTGTGGCTCCGCTGGCTGTGGAGGAAACTGGGGAAGGGCAAAGTCCAGCTGGGCAGAGCAGGGAAGAGGTAGAGCAAGGGAGAGGAAATTCAGAGGAAGACCCAGGACCACCCCCTTTTCATCCTAGGGCATGCAGGAAGGAATGGAGAAGGGAGCAACGTGACTTGCATGGCTTACGGGGGAGGAAAGGGCCCTGATTCCCTGCATTAGCTGCACCTGGGAACACAGTGCATAAAAAGGTAAGCTGCATACGGCAACTTGTTGGAAGCAAATCATGAATTATCTGGTATCGTTGAGGCTTATCTGTATTCCTAGCTTCTCCACAACTGTGTGAGTTTTGCTGTGCTTTCAAGTCTGCAATTCCTTCTCCTGCCCCGTCAAGCTAATGACTTCAGTTTGGTTTGTTTGGATTTTAAGTTACAGTTTGTGTGTACCTTGTTTTGGACTGAATTTTCTACAGCCAAAGGCTGTTCCTGGGAGAGTTTTTCTCTAGCCGAAGGTAACCTGGGCATTGGGGGCAAAGTTGGAGATAATAAAGGGACTCCTGTTGATTATCTGACTGTGTTGCCTTTGTGCCAGGCCCCAGGTCATCACATAAACTGGCACATCTGGGAAATCCCGAATCTGAAAGTTCCAGGTTTCCTTGCAATAAGTACAAAATTACAAATCCACCCCCGGAACCCATCATGGCATCACATGCCCCAATCACCATCCGTCCCAACTTGAGAGATCCCCCTCACTCAGGTGCAGAAATAACATGACCTTGACTTAGAAAAAGAATGCTATTGTGTCTAATCACATACACTCCCAGAAATTCCCCCCTCCCATTTTCCCAGGCTCGGGAATGTGGCAGCGTGGAACTGTCTGGTGCTAATATGGCCTCCCAAGCTGACAGAATGCTCGTTGCAGTATATTCTGAGATCCTGTGATTTACATTCAGACGCTTAGCAACTGATTCGTGTTTATGATGGTTGCAGCATTCCTGGGGTCACGTGATACACTTTTGCCACCTTCTGATGGGCAACGTTCAATTCTCGAATACAGCTCATCTGTTTGGACTCCGCACTGTATAATGGACATTAACAGATATTTCACGAGAAGAGTCCTCCACTCTTCTGCTCGCAACAGAATACCTTATACCAGTGGTTGCCAACCAGTGGGCCAGGGACCACTGGTGGTCCGTGAGAAAATTTTGGTAGCCCACAGAGAAATGTCCCACCAAAGCAATTAATCCAGGCTGCGCGGGAAAACAAGGCTGCGTCACCCACATGGACCATGGGAACACAAAGCTTGCGTCGCTTGCATTGAGAACAACACGAGGGAGTGAGGGGATTGGAGAAAGGGGGGGGGACTTGCCCCACGCACCTGGCTGGGCTGCTTCTTTCCACTTCTTTCTTCTTCTGCTTTTGGCTGCACGTAAGGAAAGCAGCAGAAGCCTTTCTTGTTCTCCCCCAAACTCTGCCAGAAATGAGTCTTTGGGACCCTGCAAGGCCTCCTGCTCCAAGAAGCTGTGTCGGCAAAGACTCCTTTGTGGCGGAGTTTGGGGGAGAGAAAGAAAGACTTCGGCTGCTTCTGCTGCTTTCCTTGCATGAAGCCAAAAGTCTCTCTCTCTCTCTCTCCTCCTGAGAACAGAGCTGGAGACGGTATCCTGCGATCCCAAATAAAGAATGATCGATCGGTAGGAAAATGGGGTGGGGAATTTTCCTGCAGACTTTTTTGGGGGATTTTCCCAGGGTCTCTGGTCCGCAGGATTTAAAATGATGAGTTTGGTGGTCCCTGAGGTCCAAAAGGTTGGCAACCCCTGCCTTATACCACCAGACTTGAAATGTTAGGCTTAGACAAACTAGAACTATGCTGCCTTTGGTCCAACCTAAGCGTAGTACATAAAATTATCCATTGCAATGTCCTACCTGTCAATGACTACTTCAGCTTCAACCACAACAATACAAGAGCACACAACAGATACAAACTCAATGTAAACTGCTCCAAACTGGATTGCAGAAAGTACGACTTCAGCAACAGAGTGGTCAATGCCTGGAGTGCACTGCCTGACTCCGTGGTTACATCCTTAAACCTCTCAACTCCTTTAACCTCAAACTATCCACTATTGACCTCACCCCGTTCCTAAGAGGTCTGTAAGGGGCGTGCATAAGTGCCCCATCATGCCTACCCTCCTTGTCCTATTGTCCCCATTTATTCGCACCTATTTCCTGTATTGTTACTCATGTTTATACTTATACCTATTATCTTGTAAGCAGTTGACAAATCAAATAAATAAAAGAAGGAAAGAAGGAAGGAAGGAAGGAAGGAAGGAAGGAAGGAAGGAAGGAAGGAAGGAAGGAAGGAAGGAAGGAAGGAAGGAAGGAAGGAAGAGAACAGGGAAGGGGAAGGAAGGAAGGAGAGAAAACAATGGAGGGAGGAGAGAAAAAAGGGAGGGAGGGAGAGGAAGGAAGGAAAGAAGGAAGGGGGAAGGAAGGAGAACGGAAGGGGAAGGAAGGAAGGAGAGAAAAGAAGGGAGGGAATAGAGAAAAGAATGGAGGGAGGAGAGAAAAGGGAGGGAATGGGAGGAAGGAAAGAGGGAAGGAGGAAAGAGAACAGGGAAGGGGAAGGAAGGAGAGAAAAGAATGGAGGGAGGAGAGAAAA